GAACCCTCAGTGGTTGTCTATACTTAAAAGTCCAATTGATGGGCTCTGTGTTCTTTCCCAGCTAAGTTGTTTTTCTTGGTGTCTCCTGGATATGTTGTGTACATTTCTTTCTCTACCAGCCCAAATGTCCTCACCTGAAATGTCCTCTCTTCCTTCCCAGCTATATAGAGCCCATCTATCTACATAGAGCCCATCATTCTTACCTCCTTTGGGAAACTCCTGACTAACCCAGTCCTTTATTATTTCTCCCACCTCCGCACTTGTTCCAGGCTTGGTATAGCTCTGAGTAAATGCAGCCACTAGATGCAGTGTGAGATGTGACATTCTGTCCTCTTGGGGAGGTGGGACATATGGCAGTGCCGCTGGTTTGATTTGTATACTATTAAATATCCGTGTGATATCTTATATTGTTAGCTATCTCATTATGTATATCTTCTAAATATTAGTTGATAGATAGCTATCTCTGACCTGACTCCAATGGACATTTTTAGCCTTATCACCTGTTTACAACAGGAACCTCTGCTCTTGCCAAACTGGATCATTTTCCAGCAGACCTGTGCTTTCTCATCTCCTTCCATTTTAAGTTATCCTCCCTTTCTGGAATTCCTTCTTTTGGTCTTCTTTCATCTACAGGAATTTTATCTATTATGCAAGGCCTAGTAATATTCTTCAAATATTACCTCCTCCATGAATCTTTCTCTGCACTCAAAACTACGTTAAACCTCTCTAACCCTTAGAGCAGTGGTTCTCAACTGGGGGCAATTTGCACAGGACAGTCCCCCACAACAAAAATCATCTGGCCCAAAATATTAGTGGTTTCGAGGTTGAGAAACTGCCTAGGGTTTGTCAAATTCATAGGCTCATGTTTATACTGCTTTGGATTGTAGTGATTTGTTTAGACTTAATCTCTCCTACTCAATTGAATTAATGGTCGAAGGCAAATTCCCGTCCCAAATCTCAGCTTTCTTGTTATTAACTTCATATTAGGGTTTAATCCTAGAGCCTGTGGCCTGATCCTCACTACTCAGTGTAATTTAGGACCAGAGATAAAGAGGTCCTCAGTGTGGGGTGGGTGCAGTGAGGCAGTCTGCTGAATTTCTCTCCTTTTCACCTACAGATCTTTTCATCTGTAATAACCTGAGAGGCACTGTGATACAGGGCATAGAGTGAGCATTGAGATCAGGAGAAAATTAGGTTTCCGTTGCAGCTGTTGCATTTATTAGTTGTGTTGTTTTGGTCAATCCATCTCACCTCTTTAAGCCTCAGTTTCCTCATCCTGTAATAGATGCCAAGTGCCCCAGTGTTTTACCTCACGATGCCATTGTGATCATCCAGTAAGATCTTAGATGTAAAGGTACTTTGTAAATTGTAAAGTGCTATAATAATTACTCATTCAGCCAGTGATTTATAGGTAAAAAGAGAGAATGTGTGTCAGCCTCCTATAGGAGCACCACTGTATGCTTTCTCATCTAGTCCTCTGGCTACTTCCTACAGCTTTTCATCCATAACTGCTTCAGCACCAGCTCCAGCTGGCCCTTTCCAGCTCATTCTCCTCAGTATGCCTTCTTTGTTTGCTGCTTTCATTCTGTTTTGGTTGTCTGTCTGCAGTCTTGCCAAAACCAAAAGTGATTGACTTTGCCACTAGAATACAAACTAGTGGCCTGGCATCAGTACATGCTGGCAAAGCCTGACAAAGGGCCAACAAATTACCTTGGTCATGGGGAAAAGCTACAAAACAAGACAACTTGTAGTTTAAAAAGCCAGTAGTATGTATAGTCCCTTACTGTCTTTTTTAAGTAACAAAGTAGTATTTTTCAGCACTGGAAACTTCAGTGCACTTTCTCTGACTAAGTGGACACAGTGCAGAGTGAGATAAAAGCCTGAGACCATCATGTTCCTGGGATCAGGCCAAGTGTGCCCCTCCAGCTGATTTGCTGAGTGGTCTTAGGTAGTCTTTGATCTCATCAGTTTGATAAATTATTGACCTCTTAGGATTGCAGTAATAATCAAATGAGGTTGGGGACAGGGGAACACTCACATTGGAGAAGAATGTAAAATTTAAAATACTGAATTTACAGGGAGCTTCTAGATCATAGCATGTCAACTATCCAGCCAAAAAGGTCATCCTGCCCAACCTCTTCACTTGACAGATGGGGAAACTGAGGTCTAGAAAGGGAAAATGCTTTGCCCAGTGCCACTCAGCTAGGTTGGGGTCCACCTGGGTCTAGAGTCCACATCTGATGTGCTTATGGTCTCTTTTCATGAGTGGAAGAATCTGGGCATCCATTTTTCTGAGCGAACAAAGGTTGCACTCAAATATATTACTGGACTTTATTTAAACTGTTCTGCAGAACCCTAGCCATCTCACCACCACTTCAGCCAATCCCTCCCCCTCTCCACCCACACACCTTTTTCCTGTTCTCTCTTTCAGAGTTTTGGTGGAAAAATTAAGTTGGTAGTCATGATGATCTTTAAAAGTCCTTTCAATGCTAACTGTGAATATCAAAGAACACTGGTGCCTCTCCCAGCCATCCTAGGAACATTTTTGCTTACACTTAAATTCAGAAATGTCAGTTTTTATATTTCTAAAAAGTCATAGGCATCCAAATCATTGGTGATATAGGATTGTTCCAGTCTTCTATAACCTTTACTTCAAGGAGATACTCTTGTGGGTAAAAGGGAAGAAACTTGCCAGGATCCTGCAGCCAGTAGATGGAGCCTGTCATAGACACTGTGGTATAGTGGGAGAAGCAAAGGTTTTTAAATCCTTGCCCTATTATTTACTTAAATGTGGGATATTGGAAAAGTCACTTAACTTCCCTAAGCCTAAGTTTCTCATCTATGAAGTAAGAAATGAAGATATCTACATGAGAGGACTGTTATGAGGATTAAACGTAAGGTGCTTAGGTTATAACTCCTGGCACGGTGTAAGATTTATTCTTTTCCCCTTTCCCTTTCTAGCCTTTTGTTACGAGGCTCACTTCCTCAGTTTAAGGGTGGCTGGTTTTTACT